ACCCTTTGGCCTTCCCCTTTTCCAAGCTTTGGATCCGGAAACTGAGTGGCAGCCTCTGGGTGTGTCAGTCACTATTTCCCACCTTGAGCCATCTGAACTGTTTAGGTTGTTTGTTTGTTTGTTTGTTTTAGGTCAGCTTGACACAAGCTAGAGTTATCTGAGGAAAAAAAAAAAAACTTCATTTGAGAAGATGACTCCATCTACTGGCCTGTGGGCCATTTCCACGGTGCATTTTCTTGATCGATGCTTAATATGAGAGGACCCAGCTCACTGTTGAGTGGTACCACTCCTGAGCAGGTGGTCCTGAGTGGTATAAGAAAACCAGGCTGAGCAAGTCATGAGGAGCAAGCCAGGAAGCAGTGTTTCTCCATTGCCTCTGCTTCAATTCCTGCCTCTAGGTTTCTGCCACAACTTCCCTCCACGGTGGACTAAAGGTTCAGATGAAATAAACCCTTTCCTCCCCTTGCTTTTAGTCATAGTGTTTTATCACAGAACTAGAAAGCAACCTAGGACGCCATCTTGTCTTAAAAGAACGGTGGCCACCCACCATCCTTCCCCCTGCCTCACTGCTGTTCTCTTGGACCTGCCTTCCTCATCTGAGGGGTCCATGATTCTTCTCAGGCAGTTGCCTTCCATCTCTGGCACTTTCAATCTCACTCCCCCCTTACCACTGTCACTTCCCACCTTGATCTCAACCTTCCCCGTTTACATCCCTAACTAAGGTGAAATCTTCTGTGCTGGGTACCCCACATTGCACCCTACTGCCCCGACTTTATAACCCATTCTTCCTGAGAAACCTGAAACTGGGTTTCCAGAGGTACCTGTCTGGCCTGACAAGGTACCACCCGTCTTTAGACCCTTCTCATCTTCCACCACCTTTGTAGGGTACAGCCAGCCCCACACTCTGCAAGGCTCACACTCTTTCTTGCCTGTACCTCTGCTTCGGCACTGGCCACACGTTCCCCACTGTTTCAGTTCTAGCCTCCAGCTTTTACTCTGGGTTCACTTTCTGCCCCCCAATGCCTCTCTCTGTCTTTTTTTTTCTAACTTTCTTCCTACTTTTTGGTGCTCCCATCGACCCCCACATTCTGATACTGCTGTTGACCCTAGTGATAGTGTGTTGACCCACTATGTCTTGAGGCTTCACTGTCTCTTCCCTCTATGACTGGCAGTTTCCTTGTCTCCTTTTCCACTGGGTCCTGAGCTCTTATGGGTCCTCTAGATGGGCACGACACCCACCACCCTGGTGGTGTTTTAGTAAGCACTCGAATATAGCTGTCCACAACGTAGTGACAGGCACTCTTTAGTCCTTTTATCCACTGTGCAGAGGTGTGTGGAGACAGCTCTGGAATGTGATGATGATGTTAGGGCTCTGGGAGACCCAGTGGCTAGCACAGAGGCTTCCACGTTCCCACCTAAGCTCTATTAATTGCAGATATGACTATAGCCAATTTCCTTAACGGGTGTACCTCAGTTTCCCTATCCTTGAAGCAATAGTATTAAGTGTCCCAGCCTCAAGGCTCCTGGGGTGGATTCTATGCTTCCATGCCTGGGCAGTCTTTGGAAGGAGGCACCATTAATTTCTTTTTACAGATGACAAAGCTGAGATCCAGAGAGGTGATGCTCCCCAACCAAGGTGGATCTCTGTAGCGGGACACAGAGCTGGGCCTGAGCCCAGCTGTTTGGTATGTGCCATGGGCTGGAGACACCTGGCCTTATTCCTCCAGGCTGATTTCAGACTCCAGGGGAAAGTCTGCAGAAATATGCTAAAAAGTGCTCTCTGGATTTGCTTCAGTGCCAGCACAGAGTGCTCAGTTAGCGTGACTTGCATACGCTCATCTCCCCAAGGATCTCTGGCTAATCCTGAGTGCTGAGTGCGTCCGCTCCGGGCACAGTGTCCAGAGGTCCGGTCCTGGGTCCTTGCCGGCCAGCATGTTGGCAGCAAGCTCTTCCTCATTCAGTGGCCTCTTGTGCTCCAGTGCTTTATCGGGGAGGGTCATTAAGAAAGCTTTTTCCCAGGAAGAGCTGTGCCTTCCCCAAGTCTCTGCTGTGGAGTGCCCCAGCCCCCATGCTCTCAAAAGCTGCCCTTGTGGGTTTCAAAACAGCCCCACAGCCCAGCAAGCTTAGAGCCCCATCCACTGAGCCTGGCTTTTTGCTCCAGAACCTTCTGAGTGACAATCAGCATCAGTTCAATGTAAAGAAAACAGTTCGAAGATGTTTCCAAATAGAGTCTGATGGAACAAAAGAGCAGTTCATCCGCTGTGGCTTTTTGTGTGCTGCTTCCCAATTGGGGAATCAAGATTGTTCAGTTAAGTGAGGGGGCGCCAGAGCGGGCTGTTCAGGCCTCTGAGGCTTGCAGCTTCCACAGTGTAAAGAGGGGAAGGGAGCCAGCTCACTCCTGGCAGGCCTGCTCTCTCCTTCCTCTCTGTCCCTGTGTATTTTCAGACTTCAGATCTCCACAGTTCAACAGGCAAGTCCACCAATATGAAAATATGCACACACACACACACACACACACACACACACACACACACACACACACACACCTACTAGCTGGATAACCTGTATGTTTGTTTCTTTTTCTTTCATGAGCTATCCCAAACCTAGAATAGATAGATACAGAGAGTGCCATGTCACATCCATGCACAGGGAACATAGGTCTTATCTAGATTATTCATTCTCACCAACCAGTGGGCTATCCTTTAGAGTGTTTGAACTAGCATCTGCTCCTGGGTCCCTAAGATGTGAACAGGAGAGGCATCGGGTACCCTCAAATTCTCTGTACAATTTAGGGAGAGATACTTCTAGGGAGAAATTCTATCTCTGTAGCATCTCTTCAAAGGACCCATTACACACAAGCAAGGAAAGAAAATCGTTGCTTTCCACCTTTGCAATCTTAACTGGGGAGGGAGATGCTTATTTCTGTGGCAAAACTCAACCTGTCCTAACTGCTCCAGTGGGCCCAAAAAAGCTTCCTGTCAGAAATGATAGTTAAGACATACTTTGAAGGGTGAGTGGAACTGAGCCAGGAGAGGAAGGTAGAGGAGATTTTCCCCCCCAGTTTGTGTCAAGAATAAGGCAAAGTAGCTGGGTGCAGTGGAGCATATCTGTAATCCCAGCACTCAGGGAGGCAGAGGCAAGCAGGCTTCTGTGAGTTTGAGGCCAGCCTGGTCTACAGAGTAAGTCTAGGTCAGCCAGGGCTACACAGAGGAACCCTGTATCAAAAAAAAAAAAAAAAAAAAAGTTAAAAATGACTCAAGTGACAGTTACAAATCTCTTCTTCATTACTAGTGTCCTGCTCCTGTTGAATCCAAACATTTCATTTAGTAAGAAATCCATGTAAGACATGGTCCAGATGCTTCTTGGTTTCTACACTAGACTCTCTTTAAGGTTTTTGAAAAGACTCATAAGGTCTTTGTGAGGTGTGAGAGCCTCAGATGAATTCAAGCTGAGGACTGCTAAAAAACTTGAAGCAAGAACCATGGTCATTGTTGGCCCTGGCCAGCCGACTCCTTTCTTCTCAATTAACTTGTACCCCTTATGTCTAGCTTAGTCTAGTTGAACATACTGACTTTCTATGGTAGCGCCCAGCACGTAGTAGGCCCTTAGCACATGATAGGCCCCTAAAAGAAAAGTTATGTACTGAGGGTGGTTGCTTTGGTTTCTTCTATCCCTGAGCTGGTTTCTAGTAACCCCGTGGCTGCCCACAGTCTGATTTTGTTTGGGGGCCTGCCTGATTTCTCCAGCAGGGGCTGGGGCTACCGGGAGCCCGCTGACCAGTGCTAATTGGTGTCATTGAGTAATTAATGCAGAATCAGGCCCGAGCTGATTCCCAGGGAGACAGACACTGAGGGTGGCTTTCATGCTTGGTGGGATGGGAGTTCCTTTCTCCGGGGACATTCTCAGAGCACTGAAGGCGACTGGCACCGTCTGGTGGGGGTGGCTTGGCAGCCAGAATGGGGTTCGTGGAGCAAGTGTGGAGGGGGTTTGTGCTGGTGCCACGGTTGGACACAATATGGAGCGTGGCAAGTTTGACTTTAAAGAAACACAACCCCAGGGTGGGCTCTGGGAGCCAGGCGTGTGTCAATGCTGAAGAATTGATGGGCTCTTGGAGAAGGCCATGGCGGGGGAATTCACAGTGTACCTGGTATCCTTGATGCTCTATGGCCTGGATCCTCTTGGTATGGGAGCCTCTCCCCTTTAGCATGGGTCCGTCTACCCCTTGGCATGGCTCCTTCCTCTGCCTACTCCTCCCACCATCCACTCTGCCCTCTGTGCCCCATGCCTCTGTCCCCCAAGTGCACCACACTCTGTCTCTAGAGGTTTCATTTAGCCTAGAACAGTTTCTACTCCTTCCTTCAGGGTTCAGGCTCTGCATCGCTTCTCCCAGGAAGCTTCTAGAGGCTCCCTGCTGCAGCGAAGATGGGTTGAGTTAGGTTGCAGGAACAAGCACTCCAGAGGCCTGAGTGATGCGAACCGTGGTCTTCTTTTTATGACTTGCACTGTATCTTAGGCAGTCTTTTAGGCATAGGGCTTCCAGAAGCCTCACCTTGACTCTCTTCTGTGACTGCAGCAAAGGGAGGGAAAGGGAGCTGGAGACCCATGACCCCTGGTTCTAGAAGCTTCTCTCTGAGTTGACATGGATTTCATAGTCCTTTGGCCACCATTGAGTTCAGTATGACAGCAATGAGTAGTCTCTTCTTAAACACACAGACTCATGCAGTCTCCAGGATACACCAGACTTGATTCCTAAGCCCACTGTGCCTCATGTGTTTTGCTTTTCTCCAGAGTGTGGTTCCACAAAGACACAGGCTGTGTCTTGTCCTTCTCAGAGGCCCCCTGCCCGGGTCAGGGTCTCACAGTTGGTAAATGATGAAGGATGGAGGGTGGGGAGGCATTGGAGGGCAGTCCATTCTTGCTCCTCTATTACCTAGGCTCTGTCACAGGTAGGGCATAGTGGGCCATCTTCAGCCCAGTGACTCCCCACCTTCTCTCCACAGACGCCGGGTCTTGGCGATATCCGACGGTATCGAGCATATTGGGAACCTCCGATGGGAGCTGGCACTGTGTCTCCTGGCGGCCTGGACCATCTGCTATTTCTGCATCTGGAAGGGTACTAAGTCAACTGGAAAGGTAAGAGGTTAACTTTTGAGCAGCGAGGTACAAGCAGAAGATGGTTTCTGCAGAAGCTTAAAAGTGGCCTATAGATTACCAGGAAGCTCTAAATGGAGAGATAGGAGGAGCACTGGACAAGGAGTCCATCTGGGAGCATGGAGTTCCTCCACATTGCTGCCACACCCTTCAGCACTATTCTGCTCTACTTTAAGCTTTCGTTTTCTTCTCTGTAGAATAAAGCTCTAGCCTACCTTTCTGAGTGAATCAAGAGTCACATAGGTAAGGCAGGATAAGATGTCTTGAAAACTGAACTATGTCAAATGGCTAGGACTATTACTATAATTTTTATGCTGCTGAACCTGACTCCAGGAACGTTCCAAGGCAGACAACGCTGGCCTTCCCACTGACCACCCTAGACGTCTTTATGTCTCATGTTCCTATAGCCTTGCTGTGCCAGTTGTACCCGGATCCTCCAGGATCACAGGGGAGGAGAAAAGGAAGATGGTGGCCTACTCTGAGCTGCCTGGAAGTTGAGTGTGTGTCCTCCACTCACAGGCCACTGCTCAGAGCCTGGTCCACAGCCTCTTTCAATCACAGGAGAGCTGGAAAATCCAGGGAGCCCTTTGGTCAGAGCACAATGTGGACTGTGCCACTGATAGAGGAATAGAAGTGTGGCATTTGTGGACATGTCTACCTCGTTTGTATCATTTACAAAAAAAAAAAAAAAAAAAAAGAAAGAAAGAAAGGAATTAAAAGAAAAGAGCTAATTTACTGGCAATGCTTAGAAATCAGGTGGTCTGGTTGGCCAGTCCCCCATGGTACCCTGCTGTTCCCGCTCCTGAGGCTGAGTAGCAAGGCCATTAGCCTCCTGTCTGGAACTCATTTTATTTTCTCATGAGAAATAGGAAATGAAACATTTCCTGTAGCAGGGCCACCCTGACTCCATCACTGGATATGGGTGACACAGGTAGTTGCTTGTCACCTGTGTTCTAAGTTCTTGACTGGGGCAAGGGTGAGAGATGAAGCCTCTATGAGTAGGAGGAGTAAGTCTGGGCACCCATTGTGAAAGCTGCTCCTCTGAGGCCCCTCAGAGGTGGGTGGGGTGAAGAAACTGCTAAGGCATGGGAGGGAAGGTGGCTCCCGCAGGAAGGAATCCGGGTAAACACAGAGACACAGAGGAATGGTACCTGGGTGAAGCTGAGGAGGCGATCACAGAGGTGGCTGAGAACCCCAGCTAGCAGAACAAGGATGTTTGTGTCCCTCCAGCCATGTGATCACTCACCTTTGCCTCCTGTGGGTTATGATGCCATTAAGGCAATTGGATTGCTTTCTCTGTTTTGCAGATATGGAATGCCTGTGTTTTTGCTATACTTTAGATGGCTGTCTCACTCCCCCCTGTGCCCATCCTTGATGCCTCCTCTAGCTGAAGATGAGGATAGCTGGATGGTTAAGAGCCAGGCTCAGCAGCTGGAGAGCTGGCTAAGCAGTTGAGATTGCTCGGTGCTCTTCCTGAGGACCTGGGTTCAGTTCCCAGCACCCATATCAAGCGGCTCCCAATCTCCTGAAGCTTCAGCTCCAGGGGATCTGATGCCCCTGGCCTCCATAGGCACCTGTGCTCTCACATGTACACACATGCACACATACACACACACATACACACACACACACACACACACACACACACACACATACACGCAAACCACACACAGTTTCAAAAATAAATCTTAACACCAACAGCAACATCTGGAATCAGAACTTGACGCCCAGGTCTGCCATTCAGCAGCTGTTCTAGAGAGACTGGGTTAACTTCTCGGAGGCTGTTTCCCTTCTATACAGTGAGGCGCAGGCGCTGACTGCATGGTGAGAATGAAGGGTGTGAAGTTGCACGTTAGGGCTGAACAGTCTGGGGAGCTCACAGGCAGCACTGGCTGAGCGGGGGTTTTCAATAACCTTTTATAAAGATAAACTATCATTTAAGGAAGGGTTTCTGAGCCCAGGAGGGGTGGTGCATAGCTATAACCTCAGTGCTTGGAAGCCTGGGCAGGAGGGCCGAGTTCAAAGTCTGCCTGGATTGTATAGCAAGACCCTGTTTCGAGGAAGAGAAGGAGGAGGAAGAACAAGAAGAGAGGGGAAGCAAAAAGAAGAGAAATATTAAAAGTGGTTTCTGAGTCCTGCTGTAGACTAGCATAACTCAGTGGGATTCACAGTTTTATTACCTGGCTAACCTATCGTGTTGGGGAGCGGGGCATCAGAGGACAGGTTACTAGAGCCAATTCTCTTTCAACCGTGTGCTTCCGTGTGCTTCACAGGCTTGACAGTGAGTGATTTTCCCTGATGAGCCATCTTATCAGCCCTCAACAGTTTTCTAAAGTGAGGGAAGTGCACCCTGCACCCTTCCACCTTAGGTGGGTGGAAATGCCTCAGGAACCCGAGGGGAGGGCTGTGTTTAGGTAGTGTAGGTCCAAGTACTGGCTCTTGGAGCTCATGCCTACTTGGGTGGCCTTGGCTAGACACCAGTGATATGTGGCATGGGGAGAGCTGAGGTTTATGTACACAACTGGGGTTTATGTACAGGAACTGCCGATAAAAGCATGTGGTCCCAGCAAGACACGTTTGCATTCAACCCTTGCCTGAGCAGCGTGCTGTTGTCTGGGGTTGTGGGCAGCTCACGTGTTGGAGAACTCCTGTTGGGGAACTGGGCCCTAAAAAGGGCAGGTGCAGTCTGGGGGATTCCAGGCAAAGATGCCAAGGAAGAGGAGAAGCAAGCATATCTTTAGCCTTCTTTCTTGGTTCTTCACTTGTGGGGTCGGGGTATGGGTGATACTTCTGCCTTCAACATCCCATCTCCCTATTGTGGGGAGTTAGTGTTCTGTCGCAGAGGTGGAAAACCACAGTCCGAGTGACCAACCATTCCAGTCACAGGTATTTTGTGACTGTGTCTCTACTTCAACTCAGTTTGCCCTCTGCCTCTCTTGTACTCTCTCTCTCTCTCTCTCTCTCTCTCTCTCTGGCTTTGAACTTGCTGTGTAGCTGAGGATGACTTCAAACTCTTATTCCTCCTGCATTCAACTCCTGAGTGTTTGGATTACAGATGTGTGCCAGCACACCCACTGGCATGTACTTGACTAACATGTAGACTGTTGGAGTGCCATGAGGAGCACGCCTTCCTCGCCCCCCCTTTGTCACATCTTTGGTAGAAGTGACAACTGCAGCTGCAGTCATAACCAGAGTTCTTGGTGATGTATTACCATTCTCTGGCATGGATCTGTGGCAGATGCTCCACTCAGGCCTTGGAGCAACCCTGCAAGATGGTTAACCTTGCTTGCAGAGGCAACAGATTGAACAACCAACTCAAGCAGGCAGCAGCAGATGGGGCTGACATCCGAGCACTGGGGGCTACACAGCCCACTGGGTAAGGGCACCGTCATGCCACCTGTGGCATTCTGAGGGCAGTGATGGCTTTTTTGTGACCTAATTAGAAAGTGGTCAGGGAGACTGCTTAGATACCCGGGAGTTGCTGCATGGGTCTGAACAAGTGCTGTTCAAGGCAGTGCTGATGCTGTATCTGGTGAGCTGACAGACCTTACTCTTGCATGCTGACTTCCATAGGATGCTCCCTGTGTCCCCAACACCACAGTGATATGCAGGGTAGGACTGTTTTGCTAGAACTAAAACTCCTTAAATCATAAAGGCCACATTATCCTGACTTTATGTATGAAGAAGCTGAGGTATGGTGACAAAAAGGGACTTGTCCAGTGTTGCAGAGCAAATATGACAGGCCAGGCCCTGGGCTTTTTATGAACTGTGGGGTTCCAAGGTTACACCCAGAAACTTATGGAGGTATACTTGGTTTGAGGGGATAATGTGGCATGGGTTAGCTTCTGTTTTTTGTTTTGTTATTTACTTATTTATTTATTTATTTATTTATTTATTTATTAATTTATTTATTTATTTATTTATTATTCCCCACTGCATCTTGAAGATAAGTCTGGAACCCAGAAGTTTTTTTGGGTTCTGTACAAAAACATACGAAAATAACATATTGGGTTATCTGGGATGTCCTGTGTGGGAAGTGGTTGCTTCTGGTCCCAGAAGCCAGACCCTGGCCAGAACCATTTGCATGGTATTCCTTAAGGAGGGAAACATCCACTTTCCCTGGACTGTCCAGGTCTGGATGGGTCAGCATCTCCTCTTCATCTCCTTCCTGAAGATCCAGCATGCTTCCCAGAGTCAGAGCTTTTCTAGGTGACATGTTCATTAATGTGAGAAAAGTTCCTGGTCTCTCTTATCTCCAAGTTGAACACTGCTCCTGGCTTGCGCACAGTTTGCTCAGTTCTTCCCATGATCAGGGAGACAGACACTGCTGGCCTGCCCTCATAATTAATGGGTATGAGAACAGATTATGAACATACAGATCCCAGGGGAAGCTGTGACATACCACAAGCAAAGTCCCTACAACACAGTCCAGCAGGGGACATGTATAAGAAGGCTGTGATGGGCGACAAAGCTTTTCTACCATTGGTAACTCCCTCAGAAGACATGACACCACAGAGGACCATCTGGGTCTAATGAGTAGTCCCAACTTCAGAACATGCTTCTGCAAGTAGAATGGGATGATGCAGGAAAGGGCTCTTCCCTGTGCCAGGGAAGACAGTAGACAGTGTGGTTCTCTCAATGAGCATGCAGTGTGCAGCCCTCAAGGGTAGGTAAGCATGCAACCAGTAAGAGTGAGCATGCTCAGGTAAGCAGTTGCAAGTTAGCTCCTGGATGCTGGTCCTTGGTAATGCAACAGCTGAGCGAGTCAGATCCTGAGAATTTCTAGAGTCTCTAGAAAGTTAGAATTCAATGTGTTCAACCTGAGGCCATCTTAGTTTTTAAGGTAAAACTCTCTTACGAGTCACGGAAGACCATAAAGTTGGCCTAAGGCTGCCTGTTGGTCAGGAGCCTCGCTAGCATTCAAAGTTAGGTCTTTACCTCTTCTGTACCCTCCGTGAGGAGCAGTGTGCAGATTCAAGGAC